TCATAGGACTCCCTCTAAGGAAGCGAAGCAGCCTAAATCTTTATTTGGAAGCCTTTTTAATATCATTTCAATGTAATGATCTCCAAAGGAGTCTCGACACATGAGCTTTGTGCTATCTTAGAACCAGCTCCAGACGCATAAGCTGAGCTGGCTTTGCAACTGACTTTGGTTTTTCCTGCTACCGAGCTGGCTGATCTGCAGCTGCATCAACGATGATGCCTTTTGGTTTGGGGTTTTGCAAGGCTCTCACTTGCCATCTGTCTCCAGCTGTGTCTTCTGGATCTCAGGTCCAAGACAGTCTTCCCTCACCCCCTCTCAGCTTCAGTCACCTGCTTCTCAGGGCTTCTGCTCAGAAAGGCTCTCCACTGGCTCCCTGAGCCTGGGCTACTCTTCCTGGGAAATACATCGGATGGCAAAGGATGCTGACCTCCCCTTCTCCCACTATCACAGTGCACAGGGCATGTTGTATTTAATGTTGGGGTTATGGGCTTTTCACTTTCTAATGAGTCATTCCAATTTTCTCAGCCACTGGCCAGATAAATGCATACAACGTCAGTTGATAAAGAAGGGAGGGAGGAGAGTGTTAGAGAGACAGTCTAGATAATTCTTTCATGCCCCTTTTTCTATAGAGTGGAAATTAAGGAATTGTTATGTCTTAAGGATGGGTACTAATTGGAGCCAGAGTGTTCGTTAAGTTAGTATCTTTGCATTCTTCAATTGCTCACCTGGAAATAAAGTATGGATTGTCTCAGTGCGACATCTGAGTATGAAAGCCAGTGGAAGAGGTAATGCCATTGTTCCCCCCCCCTCCCCCGCTTTTGAATATTCGCCCTACCCTCCCGGCTTTCCGAATAGCTCTGAAGACCTGGCTCTGTCATCATGCATGAGGTGATATGGGTTCTACCCATCCCTGGGGGTGGTTAGCCCTGCAATGATGCTCCCTGGGAATTACTCGCCAATTGTCTATCTTCTTGGAACCTATTTATTTTTAGGATTGTTTTTATGCTGTATTTCAATTAATCTTCATATTGCTGTAAACCACTCAGAGTCAGTTGACGAGACAGGTGGGATAAAGAAATAAATAATAAATAAATAAAATAATGGATTGAAAGTAGCCCGAGATACATGTGAATGGCCTGTGTCTCCAATCAAGCTTTTAATACCTCAAACATTTATTCTAATAAGAACCAACCAACCAACAACCAATACAAATATACATATCATCATCATCATCATCATCAATTTATGCGGATACTCACCAGAAGAACAATGAGCAGGAGTACCATAGCCAAGAGAATTAATACCTCCAAAGATGAAAAGTCCAAATGGAGTATTCTTGTGTTCCACTGACAGGGCGTGATCTGTCACCTTCACATCTTGTTCAGCCCATGAATATTCTGTACCTGGGATCTGTGTCCAGCTGATTGCCCTTTCTTCAACTGTGATCCGACTAGATTCTGATGATTTAGCTATAATTAGTACATGATTTGTAAACTCCCTGATTCCATGAACATGGTATGAAGTACAATAGCATGCTATGGCAGGGATATTCATGAGGAAGGACTCATACCAAACACGTCCTTTTTTGGCACCAGTAAAAAACAGGTGGACTTGGATGCCAGCATCAGCAGAGATGAAAAGTGGTTCAGACCTCTGCACCTCAACCTTGAGAACTTCCCCAGCCACCAGAGTACGGGATTCTTCCCTGGAACGAGACT